GCAGCGCCTTGCGGAGCCCCGGCCCTGCCCGCGGGGGGATGCGCGGGGCGCGGAGCGCTCCTCGCGGAGCCCTTTGTTATGCTAATCCGGGCTGACATCACGCCGCATATCAAAGCCGAGGGGGCAGCATATAAGGCGGCTCCGCGGGCCGCCCCGTCAGAGCAGCCCCGGCCCCTGCGCAGCCCCGCCGCGCCCGCGCAGCCCGGGCCGAGGTAAGCAGGGAGCGGGAGCTGCGGGAGGGGACAGTGCCCCGGCGGGACATCCCCCCCCGAAACGCCGAAGGTGTGGGGATGGCCAAGAGCAGGGGGCTGCGGGGTGACTGGAGAGATGTAGGGAGAGGGGAGACTGCAAGGGAGAGAGGGGAGACCCGGGGGGATTCAGGGAGAGGAGACCAGAGGAGATGCAGGGGGATGCAGGGAGAGAGAGGACACCCGGGGGGAATGCAGGCAGAGGAGACCCGGGGAGATGCAGGGGGATACAGGGAGAGAGGGGAAACACGGGGGAGATGCAGGGAGAGAGGGGAGACCCGGGGGGATGCAGGGAGAGGAGAGGCTTGGTGGCTGCAGGAAAGAGGAGGAGGATGCAGGGAGACCTGAGACCTGGTGGGGTGCAGGAGAGAGGGTAGACTTGCAAGCTGCCAGGGAGAAGGGAGACTCGAAGGCTGCAAGAGAGAAGGAGACCCAGATGGTGTGTAGAGAGACCTGACACGGATGTGCGGCAGGGGAGACCCAAGAGTTGCAAGGGAGACTGGAGGCTGCAGGGGCTGAAGTGAGAGGGGAGACCCGGGGGCTAAAAGGGAGAGAGGGAAAATGCAGAAGGGTATAGGGACACCCAAGATCCGGGGGCTGCAAGGGAGAGGGGAGACTCAGGGCTGTGAGCGTGAAGAGAGATGCAGGAGCTGCAATGGAGAGAAGAGCCCGGGACGCTGCAGGGTAGCGGGGGGACACCCAGGGGCTGCAGTGAAGAAGGGAGATGATGCAGAGGGCTGGAAGGGAGAGGAGAGATCTGAGAGGTGGAGAGGAGAGGCTGCACGGAGAGGGAGAGACCTGGGGGGTTCAGGCATTGCTCCCCCCATTCCCTGTTCCCGCTCCCCATCCTCACCGCAGGTCATTTGGGACGCACTACCCCTAAACCAGGCGACTGTGCTCCCGGCGAGAGCTGCAGGCTGGCCGGACTCAGGTGGATGGCTTTCCTTCTTGGGTGGGAAAATTGGGAAAATGTGAGATGAATACTCACATGTTTATATCTACTTCCTATTTCCTATTCCCATCCCCGGGACTGGACTCTCGGAGGTGTCGGATGGGAGCGTTTTCTGCGTTCAGGAGTGGGACTGGCTGCAAACAGCCGCGAGGTGAAGAGAAAAGGGAGCTTTGAGTTAAAAACGGCTCCGTTTTTTTTTTTTTTTTAGGCTGTAAACATCACGTCTGCCCCAAAGAGTCTCCCTCTTTCCCCTCCCCTTGCAAATTCCTCTTGCAAACGTAACCTGTGCTGGATTGAGTGGAAAAAGGCGTTATTACCTCCCCAAATAACAGGGGTGTGATTGCAGGCCAGGTTTGCAGCTCTTGGGAGGGGGATGGCAGGGGGTAGATCGTTTCTCTTCCTCCCTGGAAGCGGGAGGCGAATCAAACTGTGACTTTTTCAAGGCAAGGGGCAAAGCAGAGGATGATGGCTGGTCAGGGTTAGCGAGAGGGTATTAGACCATCTGAGACATTTAACACCCGACTTTCGTGGTGTTCAGCAAGTCACAGGAGGGAGATAAGGGTCTGAAATATCTAAATGGACACTAAAAGGCATGGGCAGGATTAAGGGTTGAAGGTTTCCCGTGTGCTCATGGAGAGGGGGTAGGGGGGAAGCAAAGACCTTCTAAAGATGAAAAGATACAGAAATGCCCTGAAACGCGAAGTACGCCTGGATGCTCGTGGCAACTCTGCCTTCAAGGGACACATCAAACCCAAATCCACGTGGGCATTAAAGAAAAACAACCTGTGGCCATGAAATCCTGCCTCCCTTGTAGTGAGTTGGAGTTTTGTCTCGGACTTCAAGGGAGCCGGGAACTCGCCCCTAGAGGTTATTAAAACCCTTTATAATAACAGCACTTCTCTAGTAACCCTTTACACCAGGCACTGGCGTTGGGATAGCCAAAAAGCAGCCTGAGTGGAAAATTATGCTGCAGATGGCAGAGAAAACACCCAGAAATATCCCTTCCCCACCCAATTGCTCCCCAAATGGGGGTATTGAGGCAGAAAGCTGCATCTGGGACAAATCCAGAGCTGGGGGTCAGGCGGGGTGTGCTTTTCCCGGGGTAAAGGGTTCCCCGAAGCGATGCCGGCTGCTCCAGCCGGTCCTGGTCCATCCCAAATCCCTTCAAGGGGGTGCCGTGGGGGGATGGATGTGCAGTTTAGGGCTCGGGAATGCCAGCCTGCCGTGCGACAGGCTGTGAGACTCCAGAAACACAGAGCCCCTCACAATGGCACAATGTGGTGGGCAGGTTTTTCTGTTTATTTTATTATTGGCTTTCTCGTGGGGTGGGAAACCACTGCAAAGACCACAAAAAGCAGCCCCGAGCGGTGTCTGAAGTGAATAACTGAAGGGAAACCCATTTACTGCTATTAATACTGCTGCTAAAATAAGCAAGCCGTGCCCCGGAGACAGAGAGGACCCCTCTAAGAATTTAAGTCCTGCACCTGGTTTGTTTATTTGTTTGGACTGAAGAAGGGAAAAACAAACAACAAAAAAAAACAACCAAAAAAACAAAACCAAAAAAAAAAAAACAAAAAGGAGG